CACAAAAACATGACTCCCAAAACTATGTAGCCAGTAGCTTGACCAGTGAAAGCGGGACAATTTTTTTCTATTTATAGCTCTGACGGCCATTTTGTGCAGGGAAGCAGAACATACCGGTATTGTGCACAACTAGGGATGGTACTGATCACTACTGTAAAGTTTGGTTGAAATCCAACCAGTAGTTTGACCTGTGACGGGCGGACAAGCTTAATGCGGACGGACGGACAGACAGATGGCGAAGGAAAAAAACATGTCTCCCAAAAATTTTGGGAGACATAATTACAAAAAAGTAATATAAAATACTAGAATGGTTTATTGATAATGTTCTATGTTCATAATCAAGGAAACAAAAGTAATTTGAACATACATACATTGTACCCTTAAATATTTATATACCACGATTCCCTTACATCACCCCCACCACCCACCTGTCCCACTCCTTCACTTTATAATAAGGATAAAATATGACCTTGACCCGAGATAAGATTTGAACTTAAAATAGATTTTCTTTTTTAACTCATGGTGACATTGACCTAAATACAAAAGTCAAATTCTATAATTTATTAGATAGGTATAAGGGGAAAAATATTAATGCAGATATGTTAAAATTAAATTTAAAAAATATATCAAAAAATAGACAATATTCAGCGGAATTCTCCTAGTGATGTGTTATGTTCAAATATACATGTATACTTGTTCATAATACATATACAAAAAAAAACATTTCATATTGCAGAACTATATAAAGGGATTTTTAAGGCAAAGTATATACATATAATAAAGTTATATGTCATATATAAAAAAAAAGACAAAATATTTGCATAAAAATGTTTTCGACAATATATATAAAATTACAGTCAAGATATATACAAAAAGTCATGCCCAAAAATGGAAAATTAAACACACAATATATATACCGGTAATTATTCATGTGCCAAAAAAAATGATATCTCTCTCAAACAATCCATGCAGAATATAAAAAAAATCAAATTTTTCATCCTTCAAAAACTTAACCATAATTTCCATATTGTAAATGGAACACATGTACACACATATAATGTATAAATAACTTTTCCCTTATGCAAAAATGAAGACATCTCTATCCATATGGATTGGTTTAGCTCACTGGGGTTCTAACAATTTAGTATAGAGACTGGCTTACATTGATGGCAAACAAAATTTGTCAGAAAATCCAGATGATTTTTTTTTTCTTTTCAAAAGAAAGAAATTTTTATAAAAACAACTTGAGGTCGATAGCATGAACTCATCTGTTGCATGGGCAATGCAAAGATAGTTGAAAATCACTGTAGCTATAAAACAAGTTTGGAATGTACAGTATTTCAAGATGAAGATGAGAACATCTTGTGATCTTAAACTAATAATTTGAATATAATTTAACTCGTTAATAAATTAAAAAATATAATAATTTGCATTTCGAAGTATTAAACTAAACTTCAGATATGAAAATTTTGATGAATATGTGATCCCCGGACCTAAAATGTTTAACCTCCATTACTTCTTTTCTTGTCCTTTAAATGCTGTAAATGCTACAAGGTGGGAGTGTAAAAAACTTTGCTTGGTGATGCTAATTAAACCATAACCTGCTGGAACAAAAGAGATTAGCCTTTTTTAATTTTGTAATTAAAATCCCTAAAATTACAAATGGACTGTTCCAAATTTAAGGAAGGACAAATCCATTATAAATTCAACAGGTCAACGGCTAAAAGCTGACATAAATGTTGCATATTAGTAAATGTTGCATATAAACATAATAATATAAAGAACTTCTTTATAATATAAAACATGCTATTGCACCAGATAAAATATTACTCTACGTATCAGTTTCTCATAACCATAGTATCATATAAACTTGGTAATATCATATATAAACATGGTAATATTTTATAAACATGGTAAAATATATTATCACAAGACTTACTGTGTATTAAATATAGTATACCCTTTTGTTATATATATATATATACATATAAGATTTCTGATGAAAAAATACAGCCATTTTCAATGAATGAAATAAATGTACATACACCGGAATACCATGTTGTTCCCAATCAATGACCCCATTCTTATTTGCACCATCTACCATATTTTACAGAAGAAATTTCTTACAGTAAATTTCATCCGTAATTTAACAGCAATTGAATATACATATATTTCAATGAAATACATTAAGTAATACAAATTAATCAAAATTCATAATTTATATTTATTTATTTATATTTTATAAATTTACTAACATATTTTACCGCACAAATGTAGAGCTCTTATAAGTGCCTCCAACCCCTTTTGAAAAATGCATGCCAGGGCGGTATTTCAAACTATAGTTTGTTTCAATCATTACATAAAAAACATTATAATCATAACCTTTCAATGGCTTTTCTGGACATTTGTTTCTGTTTTGTTCGGAATTCTGTACACAATTTACAATAATAAAAACAAAAATTACACATTTTACACAATCCTGATGGATTGAATTGCACTTATTGATTGTACGTTTTTGGGGGAATACAGATATATAAAATTAACTGTAATAATACAACTGATCACAATAGAACACTTGTATATACAAATATATTCATATAATATCTATAACCGATTGTATTTATGACATGAAAAATATTCTTCCTCAATTGGACTATAACAGAATAAGCTGAATACCATATCATGTAAAAATATTGAGGACTATTGTTAACAACATTAAAGGCACATTATGCTTCAGAAACGAATAAATTTGTCCTTCTATAAAAAAGCCAAACATAAGTTTTATAACATTCAAATAACGGTTTTAGAGCATGTTAGATGCATATGATCTGAAGGAAGTATCTTTGAATGTGAAATTTCTTGTAATGAAAAGTAGCAAAATGTAAACAAAGTAGTACATTATTTATTTTGACTTCTACAAAATCACTCTAAATGTACTACTTGTCAAAAAACAACAGAAGCAAAAGTTAATTTAGGTACTTGGCCGATGACTAAATATTTTAAAAATTACTAGTAAAACAAATCAACAAAATTAAAAATCTTTTGAGAAATAGAAATAAAAGATTTTCTGCATAAAAGCGGGTCTTTAAAAGATCTATTTCATGCATTAAAAGAAAACTTATGTGCCATGTGCCTGGACCTATATGATATATGGAAATTATTTACAACATTATAAAAGTATATCTAAAGTCAATTATATGATCTTTAACTAGTCATGTGATAGAAAATAAACAATATTGTCAGCTCATATAAACTTTATGAAATATCATAGATTAATTTAAGTTTTTACAATAAAAAGATTCAGAAATCTATGATCTATGAAATCAAAGTTTCATGAATCAAAGATTCATCTAAAATCAAAGTTTCAGTAATAAAATATTCAGTAAGCAAAGTTTGTTTGTTTGTTTGAATTGGTTTTACGTCACACCAACACAGTATAGGTCATATGGCAACGTTTCAGCTTTACTGGTGGAGGAAGACCACCGATGTTCTGTAAGCTATCTGGATAGCTTCATCACATGAAAGAAACCATAGTCCCTGTCGGGATTCAAACCCACAGCGGTTAGAGGCAAGTGGTTTGAAGTCAACGACCTTAACTACTCGGCCACAGACACCCCTGAGTAAGCAAAGATTCACAAATCAAAGATTCAGTAATCAAAGATGCAGAAATCAAAGATAAAGTAATTAAAGATTTAGTAATTAACAATTTCAAAGATCAATAACTGATATTTGATAATCAACAATTCAATAATTTAAGATTTATAAAAATCAATTACAGATTCAGTAATCAAGTATATCAATTCAATTCAATCTGATATTTGATAGTCCAAGATACAATCATCTAAGATTCAGTATTAAAAGATGGCATCATTAGACGTGACGGTAAATCATTTCATTTTATGTGTACAACAGTTTCAGACAACATATAAATGTTTAATTCTTTGGTATAAAGTCTGGTGGATATCAGAATGTATTAGTCCATTTGAATTTACATTGGTATATATAAAATGCTTGTATCACATGATAAAATCATGAACTCAATAAATTCTTAAACACTATGACAGGACATTGTTACAAAACCATATTTTTTAATCACAAAATCTTTATACATGTATGTGTCAAGGGCAAATCATTTTGTAAAAATTAAAAAGTTTGGTTGTCATTTGTTGAAATGTAGGAATTGCAAATATCAAGGAAGAAACTGTTTCAGTCCATACCCCTACCAGATAATGTTCTAGTAAAAAACCTATAGTAATATAGCAATTTTCAGAAAAAAATAATCATTACTTCTTGTGGCTCAAAACAATCACATGATTCCATTAAAAGCAGCATTCCTCCAGATTCATGCTTTATGAAAATGTTTATCTGATGAAATATCTTATAAGAATTTGTAAGGAAATTTTAAAGATTTTTAACAAATAATATCTATGTAATTTGATATACATGAACAGTATATAAAATATTTCACTGTTATTTTTAGTAGGTTTGGAGACCATTTCATGTTTGCCCTACTCCCTTCTAATAAAATAAACTGACAAATTTCCTTCATCCTTGGTATTCTAAAGTCATTTTAAATACAATATAAACAAAACAATTTCCATTCACAGACAGCAATCAAAAAAGCTTTATACACTTAAACATAGATATAATACATTTAACTGGCACTGTGACAGTCTTCAATGCAAAATATTATTTTAATGGCAAACCCTGAAAATGTATCTGCTCAGTAAAATATACAAGTAGTACATGGCTAAGCATGGCTTACAATGACTGGTACATTTAGGCCTGAAAATTATTTGAGCCGCTTCACGACAAAACCAACATAATGGGTTTGCGACCAGCATGGATCCAGACCAGCCTGCGCATCTGCACAGTCTGATCAGGATCTATGCTGTTCGCTTACAAACTCTAGAACAAGTAGAAAAACTGATAGCGAACAGCATGGATCCTGATCAGAGTGCGCGGATGCGCAGGCTGGTCTGGATCCATGCTGGTCACAAACCCATTATTATGTTGGTTTTGTCATGACGAGGCTCATTTTCTTTTGCATATCACACTGGATTTTCTAATATTTGCACTAAGGCTGGAAACTGTAATCTTTCAACCCACTAGGTATAAGATGAGGGGCATGCATTAAATAATGTCTTTCTAAGGCCTTTAAGAATGAACCACGTGCTTAAGATGAGGTTGACACTGAAGGTGTAATTTCATACGCTACTATAATTTTGCTTTATGAAATTATGTAAGTTATTTCTTATTGAACTCTAGTAAATATGTAACATATACGAAAAAAAAAATCAAACAATGGCTGTCATCAAAGACAGCAATATCAGGCACTTTGTTAACTGTTTAGCTGAAACTCAGCTGTACTGGCAACCCTGAAGCCAGACATTCAAGTCTGTACCGCAGCAAAAGTAAGATTCTTATAGTCTGTCTTTATAAATGGTGAATATATACTCAATGTCGAGATCATATCATAATGGTTGAAATCCTGGTAAACTAGAGAATGGTTCACTTGCTGAAAATGAAGAAACAACAAAAAATTACTAAAAGTCACTTCCAGATAATCTTATTATTGGCAAAAATAAAAAATCTCTGATTTGTCCTTTAGATTATATAGCACATGCACAATACACAAGTCGATAAAACTGGTTGAGTTTTTAGTGACACTGACAATGTTAAGGTCATATGCCGACCCTGCAGTTTGACTGCTGGAGAATGGTCTCAAATAAATCTCTGTGCATTATTTCACAAACAAACAGGCACCCAAGTACAACCACTGATTGTCCATATGCTAGCTGGATAGGTTCTCCACATGGAAGAATCTCAAAAGGCCCTGTCAAGATTTGAACCCACTGCACTAGAGTGCTTCCAATAACAAAAAGTAACAGTTTTTTTAATAAATAAGTAATAATGTATTTAACACTAAATTCAAAATGCCTGTATGTTGGCAAAATTACGTGTATGATACCCAAAGCGAAAATGGTAGTCTTTGGCTTTAGGTAAAATATCACCAATATATTTTAAATTTTGTATGCTTCATTAAAATGGATCCATAATACTAAAGGTTCAGACTAACACACTTGTGACAAAACCCACAAACAGTCGAGAAAATTCTTTACTTTCTAAAACTCTAATGTATATAGAACTTCCGTTGTCCACAAATTTAGCTTTTTTTTTACCATTATCATTTTATCAACATCAAATAATTGTTCAATGACAATTCAGGATGAACTGAACTTGATACAGATTCTGTTCTAACAAGCAGTGGGATCAGATATACTTACACAATATGTTTTCTGGTACCCTAAGAACACTGTCTTCTATAGACTGTACATTTGATGAATCATTAGTTATCCAACCTGGCTGTATCCATGTATCCCACTGTAATAATATTTACAACAACTAAATTCAGTTATAATCAGGACAGAAAATGTTGATATAAACTCTGTGCATTATTTCAGGCACAAATATGGGTACCTGAGTAGAACCACTGACCTTCCGAAAGCTAGCTGCATAGTTTCCTCACATGAAAGAATTCAAAGTCCCTTACAGGATTTGAACCCACAGCAATGAGGGGCTAGTGGTTTGAAGTCAATGACCTTAACCATTCCCCCACAGACTCTCCAATGGCCAAATTTGAGCCCACAGTGGTAAGGAGCAAGTGGTTTGAAGTCAATGACCTTAACCATTCCACCACAGACTCTCCAATGGCCAAATTTGAACCCACAGCAATGAGGGGCTAGTGGTTTGAAGTCAATGACCTTAACCATTCCACCACAGACTCTCCAATGGCCAAATTTGAGCCCACAGTGGTAAGGAGCAAGTGGTTTGAAGTCAATGACCTTAACCATTCCACCACAGACTCTCCAATAGTAACTAATTAAATACTTATCTATTTTTGTAACATGATTTCATAAACACTAAATAAACTCTTTTCTATACACATATCATACAGTTTATATCAAAATTATTTTATTTTAGAACAATATTAAGTGCCACAAACCTGTTTATTTTTTTCGACAACTATCACAGATATAGGAACAATTAACTCAAATTTTTCCCCATTGCCAAGGTAAACTGTCAACAGTATTTGATATTCACACTGAAATACAATTATCAAAGAATATAAAGTACATTGTACATGTACGGCCGATTCAGACAGAAATCATGCAGGATCACTAGCTAAGAAACTGGTATTTACTGGTTAGTTATCCAGGAAAGCTGTATACATTGTAGGTGGACTACCTGCCAAGATATGACAAAAATGGATTAAAACTGTTGTAGAAATCAGATAAACAATCAAGCAGGTTATCAAATAAAGAAAAATCCATTTGTGATCCTCGATGTATTATTTCATGTACAATATGGCACTTGACAGAACCAATTGCATTAGTGACTTAAAAGTCTTCATACAACAGTTAAACTAGCTGTTAAACAGTTAACATAACTGTTGAACGTCTGACGCTATCTTATTTTCGTGTGCCTCCATGCTTCTTTGAAAACAGTTGAAAGATGACTGGTTTTCTTATGAACTTATTGTCAATAAAAAATTGCCTTAAAATAAGTTGTTTAAACAAGTTGCTTATGGGATACACAAGAGAATACAGTCTTGCTAACATAAATATAACCCTCAGCTGGCACCTCAGGTCATATCTATATTATTCAGGTTTGTATATCCGTCTATTTTCTTCCCCCTGTAATCCGTAGAAACTTTTTTACTAAAAATATTTTTTTTTTTTCCTGGGAATGCAAAATTCAATTTCTTACGTTTATAGTTGATTGACAGATGGAAAAAATTGGTCTGTTTTGGGCATCTTTATGGTATTGCATTTTTCAAACCTCTAAAAATATAGAAAACAATTGTCAAAACTACAAAAAAAAGATAAATAAATCTTTCTATATTTTAATAAATATCTTAACTGGTGGAAAAATACCTCAGATGCCCCTCCCTGTAATATTTGAGAAATGAGTGGGTACCTGAGTATAACTATTAACATTCCATAAGCTTGATAGAAAAATTCCTCATTTGAAAAATTTTAATGTCCTTGGTAGGCTTTGAACAGACAGAGCTGATAGGCAACTGGCTTTAGGTCAGTGAACTTAACCACTCCATCATGGAGGCCTCAAATATTAGTTTTTACTTGATATATCTCAATACATTTTACTTTCAATAGCAAAGTGTTTTTTTTTTTAAATACATTATTTTCTACTGTGCATCTATGAACAATATTTCTGCAACAGAACTTATCCATATTCATGGCCTCATGCGCTCCGATTCGTATGATTTTTCAGTTCTCAAGTTGCTAATATGCACTATTACCCAGAGAGACATGTGTTATTTTTTTATCATACTGAACCAACATTTTAATGTAATTTTTCACCGCTATGCCTTATTACTTACATGTATGCTTTATGCACACTGCAAGCGTCTGAAGCAGGCAGAGCAAAGCGGCCAGGGGAGAGAACTAGAACATTACATTTTCTTTTCTATATACATTAATCAACCTTGGGGAATATTGCAAAAACTTATTAAACAGGTGATATTCATTTCCAGGATGATAGATCAAAATGACACCATGCGACGTTACAATTGGCTATACAGTAAAAAGTTTATGTGAGGTATAATAATACATATTAAACATACTTGGGAAATCTGACCATGTCAATTGACTGTTCATGTCCAACATTTTCTTGTACTTGAACACCTAATGTCATCTGAGGGCATGTGAGATAAATCGACCGTCTTAACTGAAAGTATCAATATGAAACAAAAAATAGAATCAAACAAAAAATACAATCTTGACTTCAGATAGACAAACTTCAAATAGAAATAATAATCACCTTAATTGGTAATAACTTCAGAAAAGTCTCCTTAATAAAACAAATATAATGATAAAAGACCAGTATGTGGTTTTCAAGATTTACAGAAATCTCTAGTACTGCAAATCAGTATTATTCTATAACTACATATTAAGCACTTAAATGGACAAACGAAAGACTATTCATATCCAGTTTGCTGAAAATGATCTAAAAACAGGAAATACTCTTTCATATTACCAATGTACTTCCCAGGAAAAGGTTGGTTAATAGATGTATATTAACATACCTGTAACTTAATGGATTGTACGATGACATTAGAGTTATTTGTTATAATAACTCGTAATCTGGCATTTTCTCCCGTTCTATGAATATGATCATGAAGCCTGAAAAAATATATATTAAGATATTTAAACAAAAAATCAATTCAGTTTCTTAAAATATTGCAAGATTCTTTGTATTTGATTTAAAAAATAATTAGAACAACTGTTAGATTTTACTTATTATAATCAAATGCTGAAAATGTTTTGCCTGTTAGACAGTCTGTTTATAATGAGTCACTAAATTATAATATGTTTTGCCTGTTAGACAGTCTGTTTGAAATGAAACACTAATAGAAGATATTTTTTTTCTGTTAGACATTCTGTGTGAAATGAAGCACTTATTGAAGGTATTTTGTCTGTTAGACAGTCTGTGTGAAATGAAGCACTAATTGAAGGTATTTTGTCAGTTAGACAGTCTGTGTAAAATGAAGCACTAATTGAATGTACTTTGTCTGTTAGACAGTCTGTGTGAAATGAAGCACTAATTGAATGTACTTTGTCTGTTAGACAGTCTGTGTGAAATGAAGCACTAATTGAAGGTATTTTGTCTGTTAGACAGTCTGTGTGAAATGAAGCACTAATTGAAGGTATTTTGTCTGTTAGACAGTCTGTGTGAAATGAAGCACTTATTGAAGGTATTTTGTCTGTTAGACAGTCTGTGTGAAATGAAGCACTAATTGAAGGTATTTTGTCTGTTAAGACAGTCTGTGTGAAATGAAGCACTAATTGAAGGTATTTTGTCTGTTAGAGAGTCTGTGTGAAATGAGTCACTAATAGAAGATATTTTGTCTGTTAAGACAGTCTGTGTAAAATGAAGAACTAATTGAAGGTATTTTGTCTGTTAGACAGTCTGTGTAAAATGAAGCACTAATTGAAGGTATTTTGTCTGTTAGACATTCTGTGTGAAATGAAGCACTAATTGAAGGTATTTTGTCTGTTAGACAGTCTGTGTGAAATGAAGCACTAATTGAAGGTATTTTGTCTGTTAATACAGTCTGTGTGAAGGTATTTTGTCTGTTAAGACAGTCTGTGTGAAGGTATTTTGTCTGTTAAGACAGTCTCTGTGAAATGAAGCACTAATTGAAGGCATTTTGTCTGTTAGACATTCTGTGTGAAATGAAGCACTAATTGAAGGTATTTTGTCTGTTAGACAGTCTGTGTGAAATGAAGCACTAATGAAGGTATTTTGTCTGTTAGACAGTCTGTGTGAAATGAAGCACTAATTGAAGGTATTTTGTCTGTTAGACAGTCTGTGTAAAATGAAGCACTTATTGAAGGTATTTTGTCTGTTAGACAGTATGTGTAAAATGAAGCATTAATTGAAGGTATTTTGTCTGTTAGACAGTCTGTGTAAAATGAATCACTAATTGAAGGTATTTTGTCTGTTAGACAGTCTGTGTGAAATGAAGCACTAATTGAAGGTATTTTGTCTGTTAGACAGTCTGTGTGAAATGAAGCACTAATTGAAGGTATTTTGTCTGTTAGACAGTCTGTGTGAAATGAAGCACTAATTGAAGGTATTTTGTCTGTTAGACAGTCTGTGTGAAATGAAGCACTAATTGAAGGTATTTTGTCTGTTAGACAGTCTGTGTGAAATGAAGCATTGATTGAAGGTATTTTGTCTTTTAGACAGTCTGTGTAAAATGAAGCACTTATTGAAGGTATTTTGTCTGTTAGACAGTATGTGTAAAATGAAGCACTTATTGAAGGTATTTTGTCTGTTAGACAGTCTGTGTAAAATGAATCACTAATTGAAGGTATTTTGTCTGTTAAGACAGACTGTGTGAAATGAAGCACTAATTGAAGGTATTTTGACTGTTAGAGAGTCTGTGTGAAATGAAGCACTAATTGAAGGTATTTTGTCTGTTAGAGAGTCTGTGTGAAATGAAGCACTAATTGAAGGTATTTTGTCTGTTAGACAGTCTGTGTAAATGAAGCATTGATTGAAGGTATTCTGTCTGTTAGACAGTCTGTGTAAAATGAAGCACTGATTGAAGGTATTTTGTCTGTTAGAGAGACTGTGTGAAATGAAGCACTAATTGAAGGTATTTTGTCTGTTAGACAGTCTGTGTAAAATGAAGCATTGATTGAAGGTATTTTGTCTGTTAGACAGTCTGTGTGAAATGAAGCACTCATTGACTGCAACCAATGGACCTTTCCGGTGTTTACAGTTTTATGTAAATTGGCTAACTTGTTATCCAATCGCTACACTGAGATAATACATAGTCACTGGTTGACCTGAGTTTGCATAAAAGAACATGTGGTTATGTTTGTGATACTGTTTGTGAGCAGTTGACCTAGCAATGAATGGAAAAGGTGTGGCTAAATGTTCCGCTACGAAAAACCGGAAAGGTGTTCCCATTTGAATTCGAAACTGCCAATACAATCAATGTTTTCCTTGATAAGTTTCAACTTTTTAAGTCTGAGATACATACCAAAACATAAAATAACATATATATAAGTAAATGGGGGTATATGGGATATTGCAGTGCTAGGGATAGATATAAAGAATGTTCTCTCACCTCTTGTTTGAAATATTCAAGCCTGATTACAGATATTTTATGTACATCAATTTTAAATATTGTAGAACAGTTGTAAACATTTTGTGTTTCTTGTCCAAAAAAAAGTTTTTATTCATTATTTGTGAATTCATGAATTCGCTTCATCATCACAATCAAAATCAAGCAATGTTGAATAAAATAAAATAAAAACATATTCATTCATGATAACTATGAAATCACAAAGAAATTGATTTTCTGAATATTAGCAAAAATTAATCTATTGCAAATAAAACCAGTTCTAAAGTAATTCATTCCTGTTTAATTCACAACAATGAAACAACAGCCACACCCACAGATTTAAAGTTGAAGGAACATTCAGGTGACAGCCATTCGTGAAATAAAGTTGAAACTGATGTATAACAGAGTGAGGTACAGTAAAAGCATGATATTGTAAATGACAGCCAAGTATACAAGATGTTAATATACAAGAACAATTCTTATTGTTAATATACAAGAACAATTCTGTGAGATAATAATCAAGTGTCACCCTTAAAATGGGCATTTTGGCATAATATATCATTAAAAAAAAAAGTACATTTTTTCCCAATCAAAATTATTTTTTCTTCTATTTAAATACCAACTGATGTAATCTATGCTTCAAATTCGATAATTCATGGTGTTTATTTTGATATAAAAATAGCTCAATTATAAGGTTAACCATTACAACATCTTTTCATTAGTCAAATTTTATTTATGGTTTATGTAGGCAATAAACAACTTTTAATTGGTCGCTTACACCTTTGGCGGTAATAATTCTTGTCTCTTTATTTTCCGGACATTTTCAGAATTTTTGGTTTAAAAATTTCAAAAACATATGATCTCTGTGTTAACAAAATACAGTATGAGCAAAACTATTTTTACTTTGACCAAAAAAGACCAGATACAATGTAATTTGTCAACTTACTGCAATCCAATGAAGACACAGAAAATGCAAGTCTACTTAATTTTTTTTTCTTGGGTTTTAGTCACAATGACAATATAAAAGTAGCTATTGATCTTCTATAATAAGATACATGTACATTGATGACTTCCTATTGGGATTCAAACCCATAACTTTGAGGGACATTAACCACTTGGCGAGACATAGCCCTTCCCATTTTAAGGTGACATTATCTAACAAAAATTGAATAAGAGGACCATAAAGGTCTAAAATTGCTCACCTGAAATACAATATTTGAGCAAACTAAATAGAACTTAACTAGTCAATGCCAGACTTTGTGCTTTGCAAGCATATGATTTTTTAAATTTTCACTATATGAGTCTAATGAGCATGTAAAATCAGGCATATTTTGATCAAAAGGGACTTGATTTGAACAAACTTGGAAAAGGTCTACTATACAATGCTTCATACAAAATATGTAAGCTCCAGACATTGGGTTTTGGGGGAAGAAAATTTTAAAAGGTTTTTCGATATGAAACAAAATAATACCAAGTGACCTCTTGGGTCAAGGTAAATAATGTTACCAATAACTTTACAAATGTAGGTGTTTACAATCTTATAGCGGGTTACTGACAAACTTTTACCTTTAAAGCTTTACTGTGCATAAACATTCTCAACAATGGTCAACATGTTGCACTTATTATCGATATATTCACCAAATTGTAGCTTTAAAAGTTTGTACCCTGGTATTAGCTGGGAAAATCCCACATTTGCCGAGTTCCAGAGTATCTCTGATGGACCTAAGGTCAAAATTTGTACCAGCTAAGTGGTCTACTATACAATGCTGTACACCAAATAGGTAGGCCTTGCAGTTATTAAGAAATGGCAAAGTTGTCACAGAGAAGACATCATTTAAAATACAATGTAACTCGTGTAAGACATTGGACGGACAGCTAATGATCCTAATATCTCACCATGAGTACAATGTGCTCAGGTGAGCTAAAAAGAAAAAAGCAACACGATACAAACATAATCAGATTTCAAAGTAGGCTAAGAGTTAGATGCCAGACAGCTCACCTTGCTGTAACATGAACATTCCTTGTAAAGAAGATGAGGAATCTGGTTGAATGAAAGGTGTGATAAGCTAGAGGTTGACCTAGATATCGACATGATTCTGGCCGCGGCTGAAGTATTGTTATAATTGTAAGGACCTGAAAGCCACAATAATGTCATCATACACCTTGGAACTTGTTCGGTTTTTTTTATGTAAACCTACACATGTATCCTGCATTTGTCCTTAACACCAGACTGCTTATATGGCAAAATACTATAAAATAGCATGTTCTTTAACCAATTCTTTTTCATAATATAAGAAACAAATTTGCTAAATTATTTATCAAACTAGAAATTACAAGGCCAGTAAAAAAGCTCTGAAAATAGGCCAGGATTCAGCCTTACATTATAAATTGTCAATGAGCAGTCTGTTGTAAGGAAGAAGGCAAGAGAGTAACAAATACTGTATTCCATTGGGATCTTATGCATTATTAAACACACAATTCATCATTTTCAATGACACACTGATAACAGTTTATACATAAGTCAAATAGATTTTTAGCCAAGTATAATTAAGCCCTGTGTATAGTTAAGCCATGTGTATAGTTAAGCTATGTATAGTTTATATAGTTAAGCCATGAAAAGTTAAGCCATGTTTAGTTAAGCCATGTATTGCAGCCATGTATTGGTAAGCCAGGTTTTCTAAAGCCAGGCTTAGTTTAGCCAGGTTTAGTTAAGCTGAGTATAGTTAAACCATTAACAGTTTCCCTATATGTTGTTAAGTCATGCATATTAAGCCATATATAATCAAGCCATGTAAAGTTAAAGAAGGTAAGTTAAGTTGTGTACCCTTAAGCCATATAAAGTAAACCTGTACAAAGCTAAGTCAAAGCTAAGTTATGTAAAGTTAAAACAAATATGGTTAAGTCAGTAACGTTAAGTCACATATATATGTATATATCTGATATATAGTTAAGCCACATTAAACATTAAACTATATGTATGAAGATGGGCAACATACAGTTAAACCATATATTGTTAAGCCATATACAGTCAAGCTAACTATCATATATACTGATATATTTTACTCAGCAACCTTGAGTGGGAGGATTGGGGTAAATGCCACAATTCCTATGCTAAAACAATACAAGATTCTGAGAGTACCAAAATTTAAACAATTTAAAAACATAATAGGTGTTGACTGTTCAGATCGTGCCCATTTAAAAACATGAAAATTTATGGCTGTTAGTACACAAAGAATTCTGACATTAATCCTTCACCTCAATGCTGGTCATCTCTTTTAATACCGGACACAAAGCAAGACAGTGTTATGCAATTCTCTTCTTTTTTCTTTTTTTTTTAATATTTTGGTACAATTACAAATAAAGCCGATTATGCACCCATTTAAGGCAAATAAACTATAGCTCGCCATTAATTTAACCCTTAATACACTAAATTTCTTAAATAGACTTGTCCATATTTCAATCTGGACAAAACCATTCACCATTTTTATGGACAATTTCAAAAGATATAGAGACTGAATAGCAATCAGTGCAGAACACAAGCTTAAACCTAAGATAAAGAGCATAAAGTTACTGTGTCATTAACAATGATAAATTGTGTGTTTGTGCACAAGCCATTATACATTAACAATCTTGTGAATATTACCTGGCAGTGACGTCTATGGCAGATGTAAACAAGCCAAAGAAACTGGAGTCCTCGTACTTAGCTAATATTGCAGCAGGAGCATCCTTAGCTTTTAATTCTCTTTGTAATGACTGCCTCACAGAAACTTTCTGATTGGTCTGAAATCAACAGTTAGCACATTCGTCTACTTACCCAAACTCTTGATGAGTTGTCATCACTATTATAAGACATACTTCTTTAGGGGATGCTTAAGATGATGAATAATCCCTAAAAAGCCTTACATGTTTGTCAATGTATTTCAATGCAAAATATCCAGGAACTTAAACTTCCTTTTTTAGCATAATTTACCAAGTGACATTAACTTCATCCCAAGTTTGAGTATCTACCAAATTTGAAAGACATTGGCTGTATGAGCAAAAGTGTAAAAATCTATTTTTAGCATTGGTGACCTTGACCCCAGTGATCCCAAACTCCACCTAATGTTAGAAGACCAGTCAAGGAATTTATCTACCATGTATGGAAGATATTGGTCAATAAATAAAGTAGCTAAGAGAATCTATTGAAACTCACAAAGGAACTATTTTTTTTTCTATGTATAGACAAGCAGTATTCAGAGCATAAAATATGGAGACAATGTTAATTCAGTGCACTTTTTACAATGGTTATTCAAAAGTAATTTCACCAAATAACTTCTCTGCATAAATAGTAAGAAATGCTCTAAATAGTTTACTGGCCTTAAGCTGAAATTCTAAAATTTAAAAAGCACTTCCAATTTATACAACTAGACAGCCAGTCAATTATACATGTACATTTAATAAATATTACTAGTACTTAATTACATGTATTAACAAAAGGGCAATACCCAAAATATGAAACATATCTAATATCATAAAATATCAATTAAATCACAGATATCACTATTTACCGCTAAAGCTTTACTGGCATCTATGACTTCAGCTTCGAGAATATATTCAACTCTAGCGTCCCATCTCAACTCTTCTGATTCATGACGAGCATGGAATGTACCTGTATAAATACAATACATGGATGTCTTTCAAACTGAACTCATCATCTTTAACATTTAGCATGAACATGATCAGCAAGGTTACCTATTCAGTAAGAAAAAATTTATGAAATTTTCCCTAAAAATGATAATGGTATTCTCTAGATTGAAAGATGGACAAGTCCATTTTAGATCTACGAGTGGTATATGGGTTAAAATGTATCAAAGTAGTGGACTTTTTTTCCATGCTCTACTATACACTTTATATCTAACTCACTGAAATTCAACAAAAATTAATGAGCTGCTTTGACCGTCAGTATAGGACCAGACCAGACAGTAAATCAGTGCAGTTTAAACAAGCTCCTCATTGTTGGCTGACTAGTCCTAGAACTTTGATAGTGAAATCCCTAGTATCAATTACTATAATATATTATTAATTTTAATTATTCCCAAAATCAAAGCATGGAATGTCAGTGATTCAAATTGAACAGTGTAAAAAATTAACAAACAGCAAAAAAAATATAAAAATTATATGATACTATGTATATACATGTTAATCTCAACAAGTTAATCATAAGGAAGTTTTCAATAAAATAACACCTTCTGTTACAGGCAGTATTCAAAAAGGAAATATCAATTTCACTACAAAGTAAGTTTCTATAACATTGTATAAAGAATATCCTTTTTAATGATTTGCATTTTATGTGACTAACTCATTAATTGGGGATTTTTTTCTCTTTCCATGTTGTTGAGATTGTTTTGCTTTAAAAATTCATGTGTTTAACTTAACACTTATTTAAAGCTGCATGTCTCCAGATGAGCCATAATATTTCAAGAAAATTAAACTGGAGGAATCTGTACAAAGAAGTTAAGAAAAGTAAAAAGGTTTAAGATTTAAGTAATAATTTACATGTCATGTGCAATTAAGGACTGACTTTGCATTATTTATCACTATATTTCCACTGTTAATAATGCAGTAAGTGCTAATTTTGCATATTTTGACCATAGTTGGCTATTTACACAGATGTTCTGTTTGCAATGTGTAAATTATTTTCTTTGTTCACTTCACAAGCATATTCTACTTTTAGATACATTTAAAAAAAAATCTTGAAAATCAGTGTGAATGCTGCTTTAATTAATAAATCAACACTAACTACCAAAAACTTGACCTTAAATGAAAGGACAAACATCAAATTTTTAAATGCTGTCTTCTTACAATTTACTTCAGATACACATAACATTTTTGTATCATTAAACATTTCTTATTTGTTTTAAATTCCATAACCAACCACACATTTGTAACTGAACAGTGTCAATAATTCTGGATTTGCTATATTGAAATAACAATTTCCTACATTGAAATTAAGCAAATTACACAATAAGAGTATATAAATTCATATTACTTTTACATATCAGCCGCGGCAAGACAAAACCAACATAATGGGTTTGCGACCAGCATAGATCCAGACCAGCCTGAGCATCCGCGCAGTCTGATCAGGATCCATGCTGTTTGCTTACAAACCCTATAACAAGTAGAGAAACTGATAGCGAACAGCATGGATCCTGATCAGAATGCGCGGATGCGCAGGCTGGTCTGGATACATGCTGGTCGCAAACCCGTTATGTAGGTTTTGTCATGGCACGGCTCATATGTACAATGCAACTACCTTATTCATTTCCTCCAAATTAAATTTTACTAAAACAAATGTAACCACCTAAGTCCAATAACTACTAGGTAAATTCATAAAAACTAGACATTTGATATTATTATATCAATAACAAACACAAAGATTTAAGGGGAATTATTAAAAACTTTACAAGGGTTGGAAAAAACTTAATACACTTTTTAAAACTCCTAATGAATTTTCTACACATAGATTTTTTAAAACTTTGCTCCTTTATCTGGAAGGGGTGTGTCTTGTGGAGGGGTGTGTCTTGATTTTCTTACCAGGTATTTCCATTGGCAGTTTGATCTTGAATGGGTAGTATGTTATACACATACTCAGTGGTCCTGTAATAGAAGGAAAACAGTGGTATAATGAAGTAAGAAGACTTGCAACCCTTGAGTGTAGTATGAACTAAATAACAACAAATATCATGCTTTTACAAATTACATGTATTTGGTCATATAATATGATAACTTATTATTTTTGGAGCTTTTAAAATTTTCCAGTTTTCTATAATATAAATCTCTGTAAAAAAAAAGATATAAAGTGTAACAATACCATCAGATTGATGAAGGATTTCATCCAAGCTGACATAATCCCTGTGGTCACTATAACAAACTGGGGGTTCATTCTCTATATTTCTCTTGCCTTCATAATTAACTGAAATCAAACCATAAAGACATTATAATTTAATATTTATTAAATATTACTCTGTAATTTGTCATGAGCTACATCAAACTGACTTTTTACTCAACAGATTTTTTTGACAAGTGTAAAGGAATATGTCATTTTTTAAAACTTCTAATTAAAATTGAAGATGGTTAAACAAGAGGGCCATGATGGCCCTGAGGTCGCTCACCTGTATATAGGCCGCCCCAACCCCTTGGGCTTTTATTTGCACAAACTTGGTAGACACCCATAAGAAAATGTTTCATGCTAAACATCTAAGCTCTAGCTCATTGGGCTATTTAAAAGAAGATTTTTTTTAAAGTTTTTTAACTATACACATATAGTTAAAAACAATGACACGCCTGGGGCCGGGCCAGTTATGACCCAGGGTTTTTATTTGAACAAACTTTGTAGACACTTACTAGAATATGTTTCATGCTTAATATCTAAACTCTAGCTATTTGGGTTTTTTCAAAGAAGATTTTAAGTTTTTGCTATACACATATAAGGAAAATCAATGACCCCGGGGCAGGGCCAATTTTGACCCCAGGTCTTTTATTTGAACAAACTTTGTAGACACTCACTAAAAGATGTTTCATGCTTAATATCTTAACTCTAGCTATTTGGGTTTTTTCAAAAAAGATTTTTTTTAAGTTTTTGCTATACACATATAAGGAAAATCAATGACCCCCGGGGCGGGGCCAATTTTGACCCCAGGGCTTTTATTTGAACAAACTTGGTAGACACCTATTAGAACATGTTTGATGCTAAATATCTTAACCATAGCTCTTTGAGTTCTTTAAAAGAAGATTTTTAAGTTTTTACTATATGCATATATAGGGAAAAATCAATGACCCCCCCGGGCGGGGTCAATTTTGACCCCAGGGCTTTTATTTGAACAAACTTGGTAGACACTTATTAGAACATGTTTCATGCTAAATATCTTAGCTCTAACTCTTTTGGTTCTTTAAAAGAAGATTTTTTAAGTTTTTACTATATGCATATAGGGAAAATCAATGACCCCCTGGGGCGGGGCCAATTTTGACCCCAGGGCTTTTCTTTGAACAAACTTGATAGACACCTATTAGAACATGTTTGATGCTCAATATCTTAGCCATAGCTCTTTGAGTTCTTTAAAAGAAGATTTTTTAAAGTTTTCACTATATGCATATAGGGAAAATCAATGACCCCCCGGGGCGGGGCCAATTTTGACCCCAGGGCTTTTATTTGAACAAACTTGGTAGACACTCACTAGAAGATGTTTCATGCCAAATATCTAAGCTCTAGCTCTTATGGTTTTTTAAAAGAAGATATTTAAAGTTTTTTCTTTCGGTTGCCATGGCAACCAGAGTTCTGCATGGAATTAAATTCTTTGAACAACTTTTAAAGGTGACCACCAAAGGAACATTCCTGTGAAGTTTGGATGAAATTGGCCTTGTGGTTTATGAGGAGATGTCATTTAAAGTAAAAGTTTACGGACGACGGACGACGGACGGACGACGGACGCCGGACGAAAAGCGATCACAAAAGCTCACCCTGTCACTTTGTGACAGGTGAGCTAAAAAGCTGAACATTGGTTCTTTAATAGTAATTTGATACTTTAAGTCATGTGTACATGTGTCAATTTAGACTTAACATCCATTTCCTGTAACAGTTATTAATATTATCAAAACTTGCCATCAGAGTTTCATTAATAACTTCACTCTTTCCTTAAAAACTTTCAAAAGTGGTATAATATTTAAGTAGAATGGCCTGTTAAAATTCATAAACATGTGTACATTTATAATTGTAAAAAATCATGCAGAACTAGCTTAAGTCTTGAAATTGTAAAAGAATATCAAAGGTAATCCTTAGCACAGGCACTTGTTCTGTTTTAGTAAAGACTGGTATAACAATATAACAGAAGAGAGAAATACAATCTTACAATATGATACTACAAGTAATGTGAAAAATACCTCAATCTATGAGGTCATAAATATCTAGGAAATTGCAAAAAGATCAGTTCATTCAATGCTTTTTAACTTTCATCAATTACCTCAATAACAATATGTATATCATGTATATACATGTACTTATTCAAGTTGAAGAGGGTAGTAAACTTACATTTTTCATATCCTTTAAATCTAATTCTTACACCTCTGCCTCTTGTAGGAGTGTTTATTCTCAAATAAACTACCCTAAAATGAAAGAAAATAAAAGTTGAAGTAATAAATACATATGAAAAGCTTATAGAATGGGTACTGTAAAACTTTTAAAAAGAACAAATTGCAAACTCAGAATTATTATTTGTAAATTATGCTTAAATGCTTTAATTCTTTCTATAAAAGATTTAAAACAAGAGGGCTTTAATAATTAACCCAATATTTAGCTAACTCTAAAGAAACTTGGGTCTCACCCTGACCCCACCTTGCTCCTTCTGCCATGTTAACCCCTAAGCAATTCATTTTAACATTTTTAACACATTGAAGTGGGGCATTAGTTTTGTTAATAAACTTTTTTTCTCTTTTTTAAGCTTCAGGTCTACAAATGTGGAACCCCATTTATTGAAAAATGATTCATACAATTATTCAATTACATGTATGCAAAACCATACAAATACAAATTATACAATAAATTGTTAAACATTAAAAAAAAGGGAAACATATGATAGATTGTGATGATTATCACATTGCAATATAGTATAAATTTTGAAATTGATAAGAGATAATAAAAAAATATAACAATTTTCTCATGGAATTAAAAAATCCACTTTGTAAGGAAAGCTCAATTCAGAAAAGATTGCAGTTCACTGAAACCTTCCAACCCATCTATTCCAAATGACTCCAAGTATGGTGATATCTTTTAAAGAAGATTAAAATATTTTAATTTAAACATTCTATGATTTTCCAGAATAAACTGGCAGAATTTTTAATTTCCTTTCAAATGGAATAAGAAATTTAGAATCAATGTTTACAAATCATATTATAATAAAATAATAAACATTTATTGATTTTGAAATCTTGTGCAAGCAATACAATGATACTAGTTCCCAGCATGTTTTTGAGCTTTCAATGTGATGATATGAAGATTATGTCTATTACGCCTCTGCTTAATGACAAATCAAACATACAGCCAGGATCATTCTGCTCATTCCTTAGCCATTTACATTTTGGAGTTACATTGTAGCGGTCTTAAAATACTTTATAGAACATAATTATGATGGTAAATAGGGAAATTGAATAAGAAGATGTTTTATGATTATCATTAGGGTTTCTTAATCGGAAAAAAATCATAATCGATCATCGAAAATAATCGAACAACCTTTTTCGATCAATCATCGATTATATAATCGAAACATTTACGATAACAAAGTAAATATGTACAATGCACATATTATGCTTTAATATTTATAAGAATTCCATTAATAATCTATATTTTGTGTAACTACCACTTAAGATTAAAATAAACTAGTTACTCATGCTTATGTTCATCCTTGAGTAAAATATTTTAATCAAATAAATTCATCATATCTATGAAATTATTATGTCTCAATTCCAATAAAGGAATGAATAAGCTATGTATGAGAACAAGAGAAGTTGGTCATTAACAAATATTCCAGGTTTTTTTAATGACACTATATATTGATATTGTTACCATCTTCAGTGTGTAGAATAATTTTATACATATCTTCTTTGTTTGAAGTCAAAACATGTTTATTTCATATTTACAAATAGACTGTGTAGACATTTTCTAATTTTATTTTGAGCATTATAAGTATGTCTTTAAACTAGAATGCCTGACTGTCAACTATTATTAAATCTCATGGTCACCAGTATGCTTTCTCATTCATTTTAATGAAAGTTATTGGGTACACCAAAGCTGGCTTTAATTTAAAGTGTTGTTATGATACAGCGAGTCACTTAAGTAAGAGCAAGAAGATAAATAACCAATGATCGATTATTGAACTTTGTATTCGATCATCGCTAATCAGTCCTATAAACGATCAATTATTGATTATACTCGATCATCGTTTAATCCCTAATTATCATAGCTGCTACCTTTGTGAATCAATGTTAAAAACTATTGAAAGTTGACATGGATGAAATAAGATGGGGGCATGATCTGGCCACTATGTTTATGTGCTTAAACCTTTTTTCATTAGAACTTTATTGGTAGACATTATGAAACAAAATATATAAAAAACAAGATCAAAAAGGAAGGGCGGCATTCAATGAATGCTACCCCCACACAACCCAATAACAAAGGAGCACCCAAAAGAAGTCTGGCATTACACCAAACAAAAACAGGACAGGCACAAGGCAAGGCATGGACAAGGCTATTACTATAAATATTATATATCATACATTTATATAAGTTCAGTGCAAAGTTGTGAAGTCTCACTCCAGAATATGTGAAATACAACGTGAAATATTGATCAGCAAGACATGTCAAATAAACTTTGATCAAGTAATAAGGATATAACAAAAAAGTAAAAAATCAACAACAATTTTCTGTATCGCGAAATCTCATGTCAAACAAGTTTTCATATGATTGTACAAGTTTACCCATAAATATCATCTCCTGCATTATATTCACTTTTGTTTGTACGCAAATTTATCTCATTTGTCATGATATTAATAACATTTTTGACGATAAATTTATTTATTTTCCACAGTTTCCTATCTTTCTTTTCTACTTTAACGAATATTAATAAATAAGCATCGTGGTGGGACTGTTTTTCAAACTTCCGTAACCGCACGGCCAAGATATAAATCACCACATGACTAAGATAGTACTTTGGTTAAAAATATCTTTCACGATAACGTTTTTTTAATTTTGGAAATATATAAATTCGTTCAATTTAGAGTGCATTATAAAATGATAATTATTATAATATTACAATAATAAAAATAATAAAATCGGGTTCAAATGTGATAGGCTTGAATTATGATTTAATAAGCATTTCAACGATAACCCGTGCATTACTATATTAACGTAAGCAAAATAAAAATATATACATTGTATTTTCATTCAAACATGCTCATAGAAACAGAATAGTTGAAAACTTTGAAATACTTTCAAGAAGTAAATTTCTAGACATCATTATTAATTGACCGATGACGACACATTATGCATGTAACATGTATGCATTCATATAATCCGTGCATATATCATGAATTCCGGTATGCCTAAAATACGAAAGTGAGAATTTTGACGAAAGTGAGCGAAAGTGGGCGAAAGTGACTTTTAAAATTTGAATTGTACCGTTTTAATAGAATTTCATAGTGAATTTTCTGTTTGTAGACGTATATTATTAGCAACTAATAATATTTCTTTTCAAAAATAATCCCTATGATGATTTAATCGCCATTTATTTGCACAATTTCTATACACAAGTTCTGAGATCTTCCTTTCGCTCACTTTGAAAAATACGAAAGTGACATGTAAAATATTAAATATAGAGTTTAAATTGAAATTTATACTAAAATTGCAGTTTGCAGACGTATATCATCAGAAATGGATAATATATATTTTCAAAAATAATCAGTATGATGATTTAATCACCATTTGTTTGAATAATTTCTATGCACAAGTTCTGAGATCTTCCTTGCGCTCACATTAATTGAATAATACGAAAGTGACTTGTAAAATATGAAATAAAGCATTGTTCAAATTGAAAGTTACACATAAATTGCATATTTCAGGCGTATAATATCCGAAATTAATATTTTTTATTTTCAAAATTAATCATTATGATGATTTTTACCCCATTTTTTCTACATAATTTCTATATATACAAGTTCAACAATCTTCCTTTCGCTCACATTGAAAACACGAAAGTGACCTCTAAAATATCAAATATAAGGTTTAACTAAAATATAGTGTTGAATATCAAATTATTAATTTCTGAAAATATACGTTTACAAACTGCAGTTTAAGGACATTTTCAATTCAAACTCAATATTTGATATTTTACAAGTCACTTTCGTATTTTTCAATGTAAGCGAAAGGAAGATCGCTGAACTTGCAATAGAAATTGGGCCAATAAATGGCGATTAAATCATGATTATGGTTATTTATTATAATATATATATAATAAGATGCTAATAATATACGTCGACAAACAGCAATTGTACTGTAAAATTCTATTAAAACGATACAATTCAAATTCTAAAAGTCACTTTCGCTCACTTTCGTCAAAAATCTCACTTTCGTATTTTAGGCAAACCCCATGAATTCGACGGTCCAGTTTGTTAAATAGGTATAATGTGAAACCTTTTTAGTTTGCTTTATTTCAACGAAACATATCATTGTGTAACAATAAATATATATGTTTCAACATAAGCTATTTAAAGCTTCAATAATCTTCTACTTCTACTTCTACTTCTATGTTGATCTCGTCTGTAAATCCGCTGTGCAGACATCAGCGACGAGTGGTGATGTGAAATGTGCTCCATTAAAAACGTGGGCTAAAAACCTGTCCCCCATGTGCGGCACCAGGCGTTCGAGTTAAAATAATGTGAAAACGTAGTGTGAAGTAAAATCCAACATGTTTGTACACTATACACGATTTTAATAATTTACACATATACGTATGACTGGACAGCGGTTTTAAAACTGTCCAGATTGTCCACAGATGTGATGTTAGTTGGTAAGTTGTTCCAATAAGGTACAGTTCTTGGAAAGAATGAATGTTTGTACGCATTAAGTCTGCAGTGATAAGTGACGAACTTTACCGAGTTTGTGTATCTTGTAGATAGTTGTGGGTGGTATTCAACTGGTACAGCCACCAGGTTATTAAACACTTTATACATAAGAATTAAGTCCGCACACTGACGACGTTGTTCAAGTGTTGGCCATTTTAGGTCGTGTAGCATTGATGTTACGCTAGATGGATTGTTACGATTGAATGGTTTATTCATGACGAATCTTGCCGCATTCCGTTGTATTTGTTCAAGTTTCTTTGATGTATTAAGTTGTTGTGGATTCCAAATTGGTGACGCATATTCCAGTTTAGGTCGAACCAAAGTTTGATAAGCTCTTTCCTTTACTGTGGTCGGGCAATGTTTTAAGTTCCGTTTGATGAAACCAAGAGTACTAGAAGCTTTTGCTGTGATTGAATCGATGTGTAGGTTGTATTTCATAGTATCTGCTAGTTCAACTCCCAGATATGGATGGTTTTTAACAATATGTAGTGATTGATTTTTCATTTTGTAGTCAAATACAGATTTGTTACGTTTATTTGTTATTGACATGGTTGCACATTTATCGACGTTAAATTCCATTTGCCAGATATTACTCCAATCAACTAAGGTGTCCAGGTCTTTTTGTAAAATATTATGATCTTCACTGGTGAGTATGGGTCTATAAATGACACAATCGTCAGCAAATAGGCGAATTGATGACTTAATATCCGAGGCGATATTAATAATAAATTCGTGAACAATATACATCTTATTTAGATGAATTCATATACAGACGCCCGCATTAACTTATATTTGCCAAATCCATATTTGCCAAAAATGTTTTTAACAACTATAAATGTTAACTTTTGTACTGCTATTATTATAGTATATATAGACCGAACTAACATTTCTGCACCATTTACAAATTATAGGACATCCACAGAAACAAGAAGAGGACCACCATTTCTAAAGTCAGCTATTTTAGTTTTATTCAATTTTACAGCAATTCTGGATTGAATCTAAATCAAGAAACTGAGACTCAATAAAGACATGCTAAGATTATGTACTGTATTAAACACCAAATAATTGATGTCTGCAAAATGTATACTTAATAGAAATAAAACAACAACAACAAAACACAAACACGAGATATGATCACGTGATACATTTCATTCCATACTTTGTTTTAGATTCAAATAAAATTTCTGTTCTGTTCTGTTCTGTTTATAAAATGAAGCGGTTGTGCTTTGATATTGGAACATAATGATATCAGATCTTTCATCAGCTTCTTTTTTGTAGGACACGATAGACAGTCCAGATACCTTTAGATCTTGCATCAAATTTATTTTTGTCATAGTCTGTAGCTGTAGAATTCTTATCCGTCAGCTAGTTTGTGAGAGTATATCATTTATTACAAAATACCCAGACCTAAAACTTAATCATATTTAGGTTTTCCATGCAGCAAATGCGTTTTTTAATACCCATATCCCACCTATCACTGTTTTATTTATATACAAAAGATAATGATAGATGGATAAAAAAGAGAGATGACAACAATAATTACCACTAGTTGTTATATTAGACCTGTCAGAACGCATTTTGTATTTTATTTTTATTTAATTTGTAAATTACCAACAAAATGCAGGATGTCGTTGCACCAGTTTCTCATATTACATTTGATATTGAGATTGCCCTCAATAATCAACTTGGATCAATGCCTTTACCCTTCCCTGGAATGGACAGTAAGCTTTTCAATTAGTGTATATTATTCGGATAACATTAATTCGGACAAGACAAGTACATGTAGCATGAAAGTGATGAAACCCTTTTGTACCGATCTATTAATTTCCAAATTACATTTGCAAATAAAAAAATAACATCTGTCATTTTTATACGGTATTGTAAACCTGAAAAATCCTTGTGCATTAAAAATGGTGGTGCCAACTAGAAATGATAGAAAAATTCACTGATAAGTATTGAATCCAATATATTTTTGTATAGTCTTTTATCCGATTTCCTTTAAGATATACACATATAGTATATAGCCTGGCAAACAAAGCCGGGCACAATTTGCTCTCGGCTACTTATAGTTATTAAAGGATGTCAGGGAGATAAACAGATGACACAATTATACCTCAGTGCCCATGTCGTGCGCGGGCGGCGCTTAATGTTTACAATCATTAGCGACCCAATGGATAATTATTTACTAGAAAGATTAATTTATATTTCGTTTTGAATGGTAGCCTAAAATTTTTTAATCTATTATTATTTTAAATGAATTTAGAGACATCAGGTCACTGAAATTTTGAGTAGCCCGATGGGACATCCAGCTTTGAAACTCAGGTAGTCCTTGAGGAAAATAGGTAGCCTCGGGCTAATGGACCATCGTTGGTGTTGAGCCCTGAATTATGTCATATAGAAATTTTAATGTTGTCAGTTGCGTTTGTTGTGAATTGTTGATTTTTTATTTCAGAATCTGGAGCTGCCATATGTACATTTTTCTTGACCTCAGTAGGATGTAGTAAGGCAACAGCTTGTCCATTTAGACACATAAAAGGGGAGAAAACTGTGGTCTGTAAACATTGGTTGAGGGGTCTCTGTAAGAAGGGAGATGATTGTGAGTTCTTGCACGAGTTTGACATGACAAAGATGCCTGAATGCTTCTTTTTCAGTAAATATGGTAAGTTTAGACAGTCTGTTATAAATTGTTATGTTTCATCTTTTTTAAATTGTAATAATCTTATTCTTATTTATTGTCTTATCATAATATTAAAATATATCTTTATTAAACCTTAAACTGCCTATAAGGTGTGTAATTATGTCCCAGCCAGAGTGCTATTTGCCTATTAACAGAGCAGACATGTTCCATCCGCAGTTCCAACTATTTGCCTGCAAGACATGATAACATGTCCAGGTCTCGACACTAACTTTTTCAGCAGGTGGTATGCCGGACCACTGGATCCAAAATTCAGGTGATCCTTTCTGAACACAGGTGGTCCATCTTTTTTTTTACTCATTTGTTTTTAAGGAAACTTCAGATTTAGAAGAACTACACTTAAAATTGGTGACAGAGACATATTTATTATTAGTTTTTTAACAACTGAAGAAAACATGTATATTTTCTATTTCAATCTTAGATCAGATAGTAAGCCATTGTAATCCTATTTAGTATTTATTATCTCATTGAAAAATACATGACAGTGACAGTACTCATACTTGGGTTAAGTGACTTCTTCCGCAATTCAAGTTAGGGAATAGTGAAACCATTTGTGAATGACTTATTTCCTTACTGTTATTCAAATACTCATTGCTGTTTCCTGGAACATCTTAATAAGAATAATAATTACATTTTATAGATTAACATTTTTAATTAAACTATTAAGTTATTATATTCTTGTCTTTGAAAATTTAATGATAAACAGAAAAATTCCTACATTATAATTGAGCTTATCTTCCTCACAGATTTATTATACATGCTTGTTTGTTGAAATTTATTTATTTTTCACAAAGTATTTATAACCTTTTAAAGTACTTTAAATAAGAAAAAAATGGATCTCTGATCGTTTAAAAAAGTAGTCAAAGATTACTAGATATTTAATTTTTTCTTTGCCTTTGTTTGCACCATTATTCATGTGTTTATCCGATATCCCATAGTGATACAATGTTATAAATTCAATGCAGTGCTAGAGACATTTGAATTTATTTTATACTTTAATTATTAAAATAATTTTATACTTTTTTAACTACACTTTAAGCAAGTTAATAAAAAAGTTATGGATGTCTTAAGATCTTTTGAACTAATGAGATGAATGAACATATACCTGTACATCGGAGAAATGGCTTTAAACAACAATTATAGAACACGTTTTTCGACCAAATAACCATTCTCCCAGATGACCCGTGCACCATTTGGAAAATTCAAGTGGTCTAACGGACCAGTTGCCTGTAAAATTAGGTGGTCCTTGCCAAAATCAGGTGGTCTCGGACCAATGGACCACCGCTAATGTCGAGGCCTGATGTCCCACTTACAGTACCATATTTCCGTAAAAGATACATGTAGGTAATCATTTTTCTAACCGTAGAAATATCTTTTTGCCTAAAACATTTCAAGATAGATAATTATGTTCCACCTATTCAATTTCACCTACAGTACAGTACCATCTCATTCTGTGAGATTAGTAAACATGTCCTATATTAGCAATACCATCTTTTTCCTACAGGATGGATATACTTTTCCAACATACCATACCATGTATTTATAATTTGCTTACAAGATATGTATACCCATGTTGGAATCCTACTCACAGTACCATCTACATGTACTGGATCAATGTCCTACTCCAGGTTTTATGGGCATTTTTATCATGTTTTTGGTCTTACTTTCATTTTTCAGGACAATGTAATAATAAAGAATGTCCATTTCTACACATTGATCCTGAACAGAAAGTTAAAGACTGTCCCTGGTATGACAGAGGATTCTGTAGACATGGTGAGTATTATTATCTTATTCTAAAAATAGTGACCAGTCATCCTGCTGTTACACTGTTACTTTCTCTTGTCGGTAGACTGACAAAAGAGTAGAATGTGGGGGCATCTGTAACCTATGGGTACATTTCTAGTTGCTTACAGATTCTAAAACTATGAAATGATGATTAATTATGAAATGATGATTTGTGGTGTGGTTTAGTGGTAAATGCATCAGTTTTAGTAATTTAAGAAATGTTGGGTTCAAACTGGGTCAGGACCAAACTGTTCATTCCTTGAGCAAGAAAATTTACATTGCTTAGTACTGGTTGGTTCCAGGAATGGATTATAAATTTATAGCTGCCAACATAATTGTCTTTTTGAACTAAAATGAATTCTGTCTAAACTAATATGTTGGCATGTTTAATGTTGTTTCTTTAGGGAAGTATAATTTTAGCTAACATTTTCTGTTTCTTTGAAATGTTACTGATATAATCGTTGATCATTTCAGGACCAAATTGCAAGAACCGTCATGTGCGAAGGCTGATATGTCAAAACTACCTATGTGGATTCTGTTTAGATGGACCAAAATGTAAATTCATGCAGTAAGTTTTCACACTATAGTTTTGTTGCTTATTCTCTCCGATTTCATTAATTTAATTGTTTGTAAAATTCTTTTTTAACAGACTGATTTAACATAAGAAATTGATGTAGTACAGGAGTTCAATACCTCACTAAGTACATGTATGACTTATTTATTTTACCACTTAACCTGCTCAATTTCTGTAATGTACTTGCTCGGCTTTGAATTTGGAACAGTCCATTCATAGATAAAGGGATTTCATTATGAAAATTAAAAAATGGAACAGCTACCAACAGTTTAGAGGCTGGTTCTATACTGGTAGCAAAGGCTTATCACTTTCTGTAACAGCAGCTTAAAGATTAAGATTCTTTTTTCTTCTTTCTACAGTCCAAGTTATGATTTGCCAGTACAAGATGAAAAAACAAAGAAATTCCACCAGACAGTTACATGCCACAATTGTGGGGAGAGTGGTCATAAGTCCTACCAGTGTCCAAAAATTACTGCCAACTCTGTACCCAGTGTTGTTTCAACTAGTGCAACTACAATAGAAATAAAGGTTTTTGTTTGTATTATGTATTGATATTATTTTGATATATTAATTGATATTACTTGGATAGTCTTTATTGATATTATTTTGAAAGTGCAAGTTTTTACTGATACTTGGATAATATTTATTGATTTTATCAGGATAGTACTTATTGATATCATTTGGATGATATTGATATCATTTTGATAATGTCGATTAATATTATTTAGATAATATTTATTGATATTATTTTGATATTATTTAGAGATATATGTATCATATTATTTGGATATTAATTGATATTATTTGGATATTTATAAAGTAGGGAGTATGGCCACATAAAAGTACTTCATAGAATTATTTCTGTGTTTTAAAGTATTACTGCATGTGTTAGGATGGTCCCCTATGGTACCACTGTTCTTATTATTCCCAGCAAATTGTACACAGGGCTGGGAATCAAAACTGCGTCGTATCCTACAAAATGTAAACAAACGCCGCCATCTTGGAACGAAAAACGTATGTTTTTGTTTATAAATTTTTTTGTTGGAAATGACTGAAAACCAGATATATGTATTAACACGCTACACTATTTTCCGCTTCGTTCGGTATATGTTGCTTGCACAACTATTTTGTAAAACAAAAGTTATAGCGAACTTGCATCTCGAAGCGGGGCAGAATTTTTATGAAAATGTGTGGATACGACGCAGTTCATATTGCTTTATCTATCGTTTTTTTTCTTCAAATCATTATATACTTATATCAGAGTTTACCATACACTTAAACATATAATTTTGCATCATTTACTAAAAAAAAAGAGATTTTTATTCTCCAAGAAAATAATGATTTGTACGAAATGATACGACGCAGTTGAAAATAAAATATGATACGACGCAGTTGTATTTTTGGCAGTCCTTTCAAACTGAGATAATTTTGGCAAAATATTTCTATTTTATGGAATAATCACTTGCGCTAGATAAAAAAAACAAGATCATTTGCGGTGTATAGCAATGTTCTGTTGCTTTTGATTATTTAGAATACATTGTGTCATGTCCAATATAACATTTAATTTGAAAGTTTACATTGCGCAAGCTACTTTTCAGTTAAACATGTTACCTAATTGCTCATAATATCTGAAATATTTTTTTATATTTTCCTGTAGGTTCAATATTATCCTTAATTTTTTTCGCAAAAAATATAGAAATCTATTAACTTGAATTCATGTTGGCTAGCTACGCTCTAAGTTAACTGTGGTTCTGCATGTTCTGGGTAATGACTGCTTTTTTGTGGTTTGTTTTCAAACTTTCACTCTACACATTAGCTTTATTAGGGGCGAGGACCTCGGTGCGCCTTTGTGCATTATTTCAGGCAAAATGTTGCACCTGCAGAGAACCATCGACATTTTGAAACTAGCTTCATAGGTTTTCCACACGAAAGAATAAAAAGTCCCTGGTGGTTTTTGAATTCATAGCAGTTCAGGTCAAGTGATTTGAATTCAGTAAACATAAACAGCTCGGCCACGGTCGGACACACCTTTCTGATTTGTTTTTTCAACAAAATTTGTTAACGTCAGCTGTACAAATAAGCAGCTTTTTTAATAACTTCTGGCGTGAAGTTATAAGATTATAAATATTTGAATTAATTATAAAGAGACAATTAAATTTCTTATTTCGATATGACTAGCAGAGAAATTTTCAATGTAAACAGGGGGTAATCCTCTGTGAAGTCCTTTTCTGAAAACCTTTGTTTAAGTTTTCAGGCAATTCATTATCAAATAAAAATCACATTTTAGTATGAAGGTATGTTAAGATGCCATATAGAGCTCTAGTCTGTTGAAAATTTGATGCGATAATCTGACCTTAATTTTCTGTTTAATATTGTGAAAACTTCTTTAATACTGTTGAAAGATCATGTCTGCCTATATCTGTATCAAATTTATCGGTGCACAGCGTAAAATACCTTTGCAAAACGGACACCTTCATTACAAAATAATCTGTAGTTGTATCATATGTAACTCGATTTTGAAAATTTAAAGTTTTTTAATGGAGAAGAATGATACTTAAGTGCAAATATAGAAAATACATTCCGTAGACCTTTCCTCATCGGCGATAAAGAAATGCAATACGACAAAATCAGAGGTAAAGTTCCGCGGCGCTAAATATAAAATGACTAAACGGAACGCATAACCTACTTGCAAAAATATATTGTAGCTTAACCATTTATAATATAATTTTAAAAATTTAATGTTTCAAATAATAAAGGTCATCTGTTCTCACCGATTATTAAGAAAATGAATACAATAAAATCGGCACGTAAAATACATAAGTAATAACGGAATTGACGGAAATTATTGCTCATTACAAGTAACAAAGGTAGGCATGCAATTTGCGCATAGCTCTCTTCCGATAGCAAGAGACCTTTTCAAAATTTGTAATTTTTTCTCTCTTTTTTTTAAAAAAAAAAAGTCATTCCTGATTAATACTAGTATAGGGTTCAGGAGAGGTTACACTGGAATATTGAATTTTGTATCAAAAATAGTAATCACTCCCATTTCGAACTCACGGGAACAATTTTAGAAGCATGCTAAGGCAACACTGGAACACGTTATCATATGGGTGTGCGATCACGTGTTTATTGCACAATGTATCTTGCATTTGATACAGTTTTTCGGAATTTGTAGATGCTTAATATGATAGGTACTTAAATGCAGCCTTAATAGAATTGTATTACATTTCCATTTTTATGGAACCAATGAGTGACCTCTGCTTTTGACTTAAGTTGTAAACAAGAAATGTTGTTGGACGTTATTAGCATACCTAGCACATAATTATGCCCCCATTTTGAAAAAAAGGGGGTATATTGCTTTGCACTTGTCGGTCCGTCGGTCTGTCGGTCCGTCGGTCCTTCGGTCCGTAGACCAAATGGTTTCCGAGTGATAACTAAAGAACCCTTAGGCCTAGGAACTTCAAACTTGGTATGGTGATTGGTCATGACCAGTAGATGACCCCTATTGATTTTGGGGTCAAGGGGTCAAAGGTCAAGGTCACATTGACCTTGAAAGCAAAAACGGTTTCCGATCAATAACTAAAGAACCTTAAGGCCTAGGAACTTCAAACTTGGTATGGTGATTGGTCATGACCAGTAGATGACCCCTATTGATTTTGGGGTCAAGGGGTCAAAGGTCAAGGTCACATTGACCTTGAAAGCAAAAACGGTTTCCGATCAATAACTAAAGAACCTTAAGGCCTAGGAACTTCAAACTTGAGATGGTGATTGGTCATGACCAGTAGATGACCCCTATTGATTTTGGAGTCAAGGGGTCAAAGGTCAAGGTCACATTGACCTTGAAAGCAAAAAACAGTTTCTGATCAATAACTAAAGAACCTTAAGGCCTAGGAACTTCAAACTTGGTATGGTGATTAGTCATGACCAGTTGATGACCCCTATTGATTTTGGGGTCAAGGGGTCAAAGGTCAAGGTCACATTGACCTTAAAAGCAAAAACGGTTTCCGATCAATAACTAAGGAACCTTAAGGCCTAGGAACTTCAAACTTGGTATGGTGATTGGTCATGATCAGTAGATGACCCCTATTGATTTTGGGGTCAAGGGGTCAAAGGTCAAGGTCACATTGACCTTGTAAGCAAAAACGGTTTCTGATCAATAACTAAAGAACCTTAAGGCCTAGGAACTTCAAACTTGGTATGGTGATTGGTCATGATCAGTAGATGACCCCTATTGATTTTGGGGTCAAGGGGTCAAAGGTCAAGGTCACATTGACCTTGTAGGTAAAAACGGTTTCCGATCAATACCTAAAGAACCTTAAGGCTTAGGAACATCAAACTTGGTATGGTGATTGGTCATGATCAGTAGATGACCCCTATTAATTTTGGGTCAAGGGGTCAAAGGTCAAGGTCACATTGACCTTGTAGGTAAAAACGGTTTCCGATCAATAACTAAAGAACCTTAAGGCCTAGGAACTTCAAACTTGGTATGATGATTGGTCATGATCAGTAGATGACCCGTATAGATTTTGGGGTCAAGGGGTCAAAGGTCAAGGTCACATTGACCTTTTAATTAAAAACGGTTTCTGATCAATAACAAAAGAACCCTTAGGCCTAGGAACTTCAAACTTGGTATGGTGATTGGTCATGATCAGTAGATGACCCCTATTGATTTTGGGGTCAAGGGGTCAAAGGTCAAGGTCACATTGACCTTGTAGGTAAAAACGGTTATCGATCAATAACTAAAGAACCTTAAGGCCTAGGAACTTCAAACTTGGTATGGTGATTGGTCATGATCAGTAGATGACCCGTATAGATTTTGGGGTCAAGGGGTGAAAGGTCAAGGTCACATTGACCTTTTAATTATAAACAAGTTTCTGATCAATAACAAAAGAACCCTTAGGCCTAGGAACTTCAAACTTGGTATGGTGATTGGTTATGACCAATCAGATGACCCCTATTGATTTTGGCGTTAAGGGGTCAAAGGTCAAGGTCACATTGACCTTGTAGGTAAAAACGGTTTCCGATCAATAATGAAAGAACCCTTAGGCCTAGGGACTTCAAACTTGAGATGGTGATTGGTCATGATCAGTAGATGACCCCTATTGATTTTGGGGTCTAGGGGTCAAAGGTCACATTGACCTCTTAGGTAAAAACGGTTTCCGATCAATAACTAAAGAACCCTTAGGCCTAGGAACTTCAAACTTGGTATGGTGATTGGTCATGACCAGCAGATGACCCCTATTGATTTTGGGGTTAAGGGGTTAAAGGGCAAGGTCACATTGACCTTGTACGTAAAAATGCTTTCCGATCAATAACTTAAGAACCCTTATGCCTAGGAACTTCAAACTTGGTATGGTGATTGGTCATGACCAGCAGATGACCTATTGATTTTGGGGTCAAGGGGTCAAAGGTCAAGGTCACATTGACCTTGTAGGTAAAAACGGTTTCTGATCAATTAACTAAAAACGCTTAGGCCTAGGAACTTCAAACTTTGTGTGATGATTGGTCATGACCAGCAGATGACCCCT